ATTTCAAGAAGTAGAAAATTTAATAATAGTTAATAAAAATAATAATATTATTTAATAATAATAATATTTAAAAAAAAAATTAATAATATTCCTAATAGAATTAGATAAAAATAAAACTTTTTAATAGAAACTACTTTTGATCCATCACTTCCGCTCAGATGGAAAGAATCCGCCTGTTTGAGCGGAAACTTCTTCGCGATTGCACTAATTATAAGCGCAAGCCTAATGGCAAACACTTTTCCATATCAACTCTCTATAACAATGCCAAGATCACACGTGTTGACGAGTATCTTCTGTCACACGCCCGTAGGTATCTCACCCGGCTCCATGACCTTCCCCCCGACGTTTCCATTCCTTCCACTCTCTCCATTCCTTCCACCGCGGCTTTCGTGACCCCAGTCACAAAGTATATTGTTGATCCCATCCCCGCTAGTTAGCCGTAACCCCTCCCCCTTCTTTATCATCCATCCTACCTAGTTTATGCCCTTGCTTTCTGACTTAGATGAATCTAGTTCACTAGGTATTAAGTCTATTTTCTCATTCCTCTTTCCCATGATTACTGGAATGAAGTTTCCACATTGCTGTGGAAATCTTCTTCATACATTCCTAAGAGGTGGTTTTAGTGGGTTCAAGTCTCACACTGTGGCTTTCGATGCTTTCCACCTACTGCAAAAAAAAAAAAAAAAGAAACTACTTTTGTTCTATAATAAGGAGTTTGTGTTGAATAGAAAACGGGTCTGAGTGAGAAAATGTTCAAAAATAAAGTTTAAATGTTATCAAACAAATTTTTGGGCTATGGATAGTCTCTTTTGTATATTCACCATCAGTCGTATTTGAAAATAACTATTAATTTAATTAGTTTTTTGTGGACTGTATCAGAAATTAATGAAAATACAAAGTAAAATATATAACATTAAAAATAATATTACTGGAAATTATAATATAGATTGTAATAACAGTCCAAAGATTGTAATAACTAGATATTACAATCGTTGGACTATTTTACACTAGACACTAAAAAAATATGAAGAACAAAAAATTAATAACTTTTTAACCCTCTCTTAAATAGGTCTCTATAAATACTATAAACTCCAAAAATTCAATAGTAAACATGACTTTTTATAAATAAGAACAAATAATATTCTTAAGAAACACCGATGAGTTTCTTTCTCAATCGAATGACTGATTAAAATTGTCAGTCGGGATATTCATCAAAGACTTTTTACGGCACAAACATAGGAGAATACAATGCCGATGTATATAATTTCTAACAGACAGCCTTAATACAAATTTCTTGGTATATTTAGTAATATTTGTTTAATTGTAAAAACCAATAATATTAAATCTTAAATATATTTGTTGAATAAAAAATATATTCGTTGAAAACAATAAATGATACATCTTTTTCTGACTACAAGAATTGTGATCAAGACAAATGAACAAAACACTAAAAATCTCTAAACTAAAAACAAATTTATAGCAATTAACGAGATATTAATATATATTATAAAAAACTGCATCCGACTGGAGGACTAGGACATCAAACTTTTGCAAAACAAACGTGTTTTATATAAAACCAATATTTTAGATAAAACCAACCTTTGGGTTTTGCTAGCTGGTAACAGTAGGAGTTGTTGAGAAAAAAGTACTCATCTTAGGATGGGAAAATTATATTATGAGGTTAGAAAAATTGGTATGAAAGACAACGTATCGTGTCGTACAGTTCAGTCTTTTAGTGTTGATTTTTTTAAATTTAATTATTGAACTTGCATTATAAATAGAACTTCATTAAAACATGTTTCGTTGAAGACATAAACCCTTTATGTATGAATAGATTGTTCTACTTTATTAAAGTGTTCTGCCATTACTTATTATAGTTGTATGTTTTTAATAGCATTTAACCAAATTACAACAACATAAATAGAAATCCGTTGCAATATTGATATATAGATTTTTTTGAAAGTTTAAGTGCAACTCTTCTCTTAAATTTTTAATAATTGTAAGTATTGTTTTTAGCGACATAGGGACTTTTATGCTTCGCTTTTGAGCATTTAGTATCTAATTTAGTTTTTTTTTAATAAAATTCAAATACTTAAATTAAGTGAAAGTAAATTTATTTCTTTCAGTAATAGTCACCAGTTACTTTCCTTTGAATCTCTTTTCTAATTCTTATATTTATAAGCATCAAAATATCTCTTTATATGACGACTGCATTTCTCTTTACACGAGTTCCATTAAAAATAACAACACTAAAAAAACTGAGTTTACTTTATAGAATATTTCAAATATTAAATCATAATATATAATTCATATATAATGTATATAAAAAAGAACAAATTTTTTTAGTGAATTTTTATTAGAATTATTGCAACAGCAAATTTAAAGTACGATGATTAAAGTTCAGATATAGCCTCCTTCGAATTTCAATATATTAAATCACAAATTTGTTTTTTTTTAATAGAATAGTACTTAAGAACTATATCCCTATATATTATATTATAAAGAAAAGTTAATACTTGAAAACTTTATATCCGATGACTAAAATTCCATTTGGAATAGAACAATAGTGAGAAATTATTGAAATTCTATAAAAAATTCATTTTAATCAAATGAACTATTGAGCTACACTTAACGGTTGATCGGATGTCGCCAAATATCGTCAGTGAGCTTTGTAAACATCCATTGGTTCAATTATCCATATACGAAATTTGTTCTGGAATTGAACCCTATCAATCTTAAATCAAGGGTCCGCGTTTTAATATAGAATGCTTATGTTTGTCAACCTTTGTTATTTTCACTTGAATACCACTTGCTAGATTATTAATAACAATAAACGCATAAACAACGGTTACATAAATTGAGTTGATTTTTTTAAAACATAAAAAATTAATAATTTTTTTCAAAATAATATTATTAATTAATTAATATTTTTTTCTCAGTTTCATTTTGATGGATGTTAATTATTTTAACGAAATTTTTTTTTCATATATCTATTATAAGAAATCATTAAGGTCTTTGATTAAATTATGTACAAAAGAATTCAATTTAAAAGTAATTGTAAAAAATAAATTTATGTACATTAAACACATTTCCTTATATGGTATTCTCATTACTTAATACACTTTAGGAAATTTATGACTTCCTTTTCAGAATAAAAAGTATGTGTTCGTTTTAAAATAAAATTTATTTGTATTAAATTTCATTGGCAGTCATTTTATGTTTAATTTTATGTACTATTGTGTTTAAAATGTCTTTTGTTCACCTTTTTGCCAAACTTCGTAAATTTCACATTCCTTTCATAAATATCAACTTTTACTTTTAATATTGTTACGTTTTCGCCTGCGTGTTTATTCGTATCTCTGGATTTTATAAAAATAAAACGAACTTTAAAAAATTGGAGAAACTTTAGTAATTTTATTAATTGTATTGAAAAGAACTAGATTTCCTAGGAGCCAATTTCTTTACTCAAAACAAATTCCAACACTAACTTCTTTCCAAAAATATCCATTGACATAATGTTTAAATAATATTTAAACATTTCATTGCTACTCTGATGAAATTCGTAACATTGCCCTCCTCTTAAATCTGTTCGTCCCGAACAGGAATTACGACATCGTTGCAGTAAGGTGCCAGCCGTTCCAGATGCACCACTTTCATTCGAGCTCTATGATGCCCCGACTCTTGAATTCGATAAACCACATCATTGATTTTCGTTATTACCTTATATGGTCCTTGCCAATGGGTCTGTAGTTTTGGAGACAAACCTTTCTTCCGTTGCGGATTATGGAACCACACTAGGTCTCCTTCCTGGAAACCTTCAGAGTTCATTCTCAAATCATACCTGGCTTTCATTTTGTCACTGGTCAGTAAGAGCCGTCTTCTGATGAATCGATGAATTTCATCTAATTGGTCCCGCTTACTTCCAGTGTAGTCACATGTCATCTTGCCGCAAATTGGGGTTATTCCAAATTTTAAGTCCGCGGGTAATCTGATGTCGGCGCCAAAAACTGCTCTTGCTGGTGTAGTTGATGTGGAATTATGTCGTGCAGACCGATAGGCGAGTAGGAACATTGGAATATGAACGTCCCAGTCTTTCTGATTTTTATCAACCACTTTCCTGAGGTACTCGTTTAATGTACGATTAAATCGTTCAACCATTCCATCTGACTGTGGATGTAAAGGCGTTGTACGAGTTTTATTTATTCCCAGTAATGTGCAAATTTCCCTAAAGATTGTTGACTCGAAGTTTCGCCCCTGATCTGAATGCAGTTCCATTGGAACACCGAATCGCGTAACCCAATTGTTTAAGAAAACTTCTGCTATCGTGCTAGCTTCTTGATTTGGAATTGGATACACTTCTGGCCACTTACTGAAGTAATCCATTACTACCAGCACGTATTTGTTCTGTGCGTTACTAGTAGGGAAAGGTCCAGCGATATCCATTGCAATTCTCTCAAAAGGAGCACCAACGTTATATTGTTGCATTTTTCCACGGCTTCTAGTATTCGGACCTTTTGATGTAGTGCATGGAACGCATTTTCGTATAGCGTCCGCAACCGAATCTTGGCACCCGACCCAATAAAAACGTCTCTTGATCTTTTCCACAGTTTTAGTGACGCCCAAATGACCTCCACTAGATGCATTATGGTATTCTGAGACAACTTCGTCAATGCGGGACTTCGGTATTACCAGGAGGTTATTAATGGTTTTACCATTCTCACTTTCCCATACCCGATATAAACAACCATCCTTCAGATGCAAGCTCTGCCATTGCGCCCAGTATGCCTTAGCTATCGGACTTTCACCTGCCATTTCCTGCCATACCGGCCGAACGCCTCGCTCTTTACTTTCCATTATTTTGGAGAGGTCTGCATCGTTCTGCTGTTCTTTTT